TAGGATTTGGATTATTATTATTCTTTTTCCATCTTTTTATTTTGGTTTTATTTCTATGGCTTGCTAAAAGCCCAACTAGAGCTAGGGGAGGACCTCTCAATGAAGTACGGTAATGTATTGACTTATGAGCTTAATGGTATGTGATATTTTATTAATTTAACTTTTGATTTTTTAGTAAAATTTTTGCTTTATAAAATTTTTTAGGATTCTTGGGTCTTTATGTCTTATATGTTGAACACTTGAATTTTCCTGCGATTCAAATAACTGGTTATTCCACGCTTAAGTTGATTACAATTATTTCATATAATAATAATAATTGGAGGATTATTCAGGTTCCTGAATAAACTTTTGATATAAACAAAGGTGTTCTTTTGGTTTTATTGTAAATTTGATGACTTGATTCAACTGACATTTGATTCTTGTCTAGGTTTAAGAACTAAGGTCTTTAAATATTATTGTATGGATTTGAAAGGGTATCTCTGATGCTTTAGTATTTTCAATTATGTTTTAAAACTAAATTTATTGTTTACTAATTTTCAAAATCTCTACACAACAATTTTTTCAAAACAATTTCTTTTATTTTTCTTTGTACTCTAAGTTTTCTCAATTCCTTGTGGCTCGAGTTTGGACTTTCGAGTATTATATTACTTCGCACAATCTACACTTGGGTGATCAATTCTAAAGTTGTAGCAACCACATTTACCTTCAATCTGTGATCCCATAAAATCCAAATATGTTTTTTGCTAATGGATTTTCCATAAAGGAAGAGAATCCCATGCTCCCACATAAATCGTGTAGCCTATATTGCATTAGTTTTGGTTCCAGCAAAGGTACCAAACAAACATCATTGAGCTCAAATAGTTTTTTGAGCCTTAGCCTTGAGGCCCCCTTATTAGCTCCCATCACATTCCAAGAGATTGAATTAATCATTTAGAGGCTGGGAAAAAGATAGTTTCTAGATTTAGATATATTTATAAATGGATTAGATCCTTAGGATGCAAAGCTACTTCATAACTCTCACCCTCTTCTGAATCATGAGAATCAACTTCAATACAATCCAGACTAGCAGAAAGACCATCATCAGATTGAAAGCCTTTTTCTAGGGGTTCTTTGGCACATCTTAATCCTCTTTTATCATCCAAAGAGACCCTACTATCATTGCATACATAGTGTGACGGTCAACTAGAAATGTGTGAATCAGAACTCCATTAAACCTTGCTCCTTTAATTGACAAATACCTTCTTCTAGCACTTCAAGATTTTTATCTTACTTTATCAACACTAGATCCTCAACTGTGTCCCTAACAACATTGGAGATTTCTCCCATTAGCACATGTGAATACCTGAGTATCTTTGCCAGTGTGTTCTCCTTTCTCCATGATCTTATTAGGTTCTGCCAACAACTGGCTATTAGTAGCAACTTCTAAATAAGTTTTTCATGTTCATATTTTTTGCCAAATTGTCTTTTTAATATCAATGTTGTTAGAGGTATTTGTAAGTGTGTTTGATTAATTGATAGTTGCTCGAGCTGTTGTTGCCTGTATGATTTCCAATGAGTAATTGGAGACTAGAAAAGGACTAAGAAAATGGCACTTACAACGGGTAAGGGATACGCATTGGAGTTCTCGCTTGAAAAATAATATCATCAGTGATGAACCATTTCTTCCTAGCCTGAAGATGCATATTCGGACTTTTGAAATATTGAATTCTTTGAATTTGTCTTTATGTTGATCTTATGAAAGAAATTATGGTGATCATTGAGTTTTACAGCATCAATCTCAAGATATCTTAGATGCCATACACCTTGTCATGAGTACCCAAATCAATTATCCATGGGTTTATAATGATGTTTAAAATCAATTAGGTTTTAAAAATACTTTTTAATCATTCAATCACATACATCGTATAAAACCTTAGTTTATAGTGAAAACCCTATTTCATGATTTAAGAATCCCTCCTTCGATTATCTGGAAAGAAGTTTACTCACTCATGCTAAAATAGAAAGAATATAAAATTAAATAATTCATAATTAATTCAATAGAAAAAGAATTGAAATTTCAATAGAAAGTAAAATTGAATAACAAAAATACCTTGTATTGAAATACAGTGAATAATTCGATTACAATCTTCAAAAGAACTTAAACTAACCTAAATTGAAGAATGAAATTGTAATAGACTGAATAAAAGATAGAAAAACTAAAGTTATGGCTTCTAGGTCCAAACCCTAAAGCTCGAGAAAAAGTAGTTGAAGAAGTTCTCTAAAAATCCCCTTTTTCTATCTCTTATAGAATGTATATCGAAAGGCCTTCATTCTCCCATTCTTCAGATCATTATCTTCCTAAAAATATCTCTTCTTCCTAGTGGATGAAATCCCACAAAGATATGGCAAATCAAACTTAAATTTGGAGAGTCCTCGTCGAATTCCACAACTCACCTATCGGTAGAACATCAAAAACCTACTAGTAGAACTTTTCTATACCATGACCTACCAATAGCACATGAATAACCTACATGTAGAAATCTATTTTGCCATTCTTGTAGCCTATTCTACCGATTTCAACATACCTATGGGTAGAAAAACCTTTTGCAATTCTAGAGAGCTCAGCTACTGTAGAATTTGAATAACTACAGATAGAACCCTTTCTTGGCACAAACCTACCAGTAGGTTTCGTATCGGTAGAACTTATATTTTATTGAATTTTTGCTCTACGGCTTCCGGCTTCATTCCCAACATATCCAACTCTTCCAAAATCTCCAAATCAATACCCAAGACCTTCTTTTACACTTAGACTACCTAAAAACATGAATTAAACACATAAATCACATTCTAAGTTAATTAAAGCAAGTTAGTCCACTAGAAAGCCTAAAGTGAGCATAATTGAGTATAAATAATGCAATAATGTACTCACAACATTGACCCGATGTCATTTTAACTTATCTCCTGCGCGTTTGTCACCCAGTGGATGGGGTATATCTGTTGGTATGCTCATCCATTGGTGATAAAGTCAAATTAAATCTCCTCCATCTGTCTCAGAATTCAACCATCTTTTCCATCTCAAACTTCTCCCTTCGCGAGGTTCTTCTATTTTGCTAAGAGAGTTACCAACCTAACCCGGTCATCAACATGCCCTCTTCGTATAAAACATTGGAAGAATGGGGATGATTGGGAGTTTGGAAGGGTAATTGGTGACAATCTTTGGGTTCCTAGACTCTGGGTTCCTTCTACAAGCACTAGTAAGTTCATTTTTTTTATTTACATTTCTTGTGGTTCAAATAATCTGACCTTATTTTTGACAAATCATCTCCTTTCCTACAGAATTTGTGCTTTCCTTGCTCAAGTTTGAAATTGAGCATATCTATTAATCTGAGGCTTATGGTGCTAAGTTCTGGTTTGAGCTGGTCACTTTAGAGAAGCTTTTAAGTACAATTTTGGTATTCTAGTTGAAGCTTCAACTTTTGGTAACTAACAACTAACATTGTTCTAGATCTTGTTCTATATTTTTTTTTGCTTTTAACACTCACACTATTCTTTGTAGCTCCTATTGAGATGGCTCCTAGGAAAAGAGCTTTGAAAAAACTTATGGAAGCAAGGAAAGTGGCTGAGAATGAGGGAGACCCTAGCCTCCTAGGAAGCTCAAGCACCTAGCGAAGGGCTTGAAGAATTCGGAGGGCGTCGCTTTTAAAAATGGGGTAGTCGGCCCCCTTTTGCCCGAGGAAACTTCTATTAAGGTGGTCCCTCCTTGGGAAGATCCAACTCCTTCCGAGATGGACCATTCTTTGTCCCAATCTACCCTTCGTAGTTTGGTGGTGACTACTTAGGCATAAGCTTGTGATATCATAGGCCAATCTGCAGAGGAGTACTTGCTACAAAATCATTCTCTAGCTACTCATTTTTTTGCTCTCCATAGTGGCCCAACTTGACCTGAATGAAGTGGCTAAATACAACGTTGGAAAAATTGCTAAGGGCCCCTTCTATGACATTTTTTAGGTATTTCTTTATCTTCTTTGAGGGGTTCATTTGTTTCTGTAAGTGACTACTTAACTCTTTTTTTTTGTGTGTGTGTAGGCTACTACTTATGTTAGCTCTCTTATAATGCTCCCATGCTAGAGAAATAATGAAATGATAGGCAGTTGAGCTTAAGTCAACTAATGAGTATATCAAGAATATGACTACTTAGGCAAGCACCATCGAATCCACAACACTCACTCTGAAGGACCAAATCATGAAGAAAGTAATCCAAGTTGCGGATGAGGCTAAGACTAAAAAATTCAAGGCAAAGGATGAAGTGACTCTATTGAAGGAGCACCTTGGTGAGGTCACCAAGAAATGAAGGGACTTGGCAACCCATCTTTGATCCAATACGGATCAGGCCATAAAGGAGTTCAAGGAGTCTAGGGTACGATGCCTTTAAGTCCCAAGTAAACGAGAAGTATCCAAAGGAGAAGTATCTTGATCTGGACTTTGATTCCTTTGAGCCTCCGACCTCATCGAATTAAGGAAGGTGAGGTTACGAAGAAGAATTCTAATGAGGAATCAAACAAGGTGGCTGGAGCACAAGCTAAGGGGGTGCTTGACAAGACAAAGGAGCTGACTAAGGATCAGACTAAGGAGGGAGTTGAGTGAACAATGCACATCTTTTTTGTTTTTTGATGTACTTGTTCACTCATCTTTGAAAACTTCAAATGAAATCACTTATTTGCTATCATTTTTGTGTTTTTTCTTCTTTTTGAAGGGGTCGTGTCAGGTATAGATCGAGAGCTTGAATGTCTATAGTTCTATGCCCCACTCACTTTTAGAAGGTCCTCCTATTGTGACCTTAAGGAAATGAGGCCCTTCACTTGTGTTGTCTTGCCTAGGTATGCCTTTAATTTCTAACAAAACATTCCAGAATTCTAGGTTGATCTATTTGATCCCTAAGGTTGAGAAGCCTTTTATATATATATATATATATAATAGAGCTTCAAGCATCATAGGATGAAAATAAAAAATATGAAAAAATTCGCCGTCTGTGGGAATCAAACCCACAACCACGTGGTTAAAAGCCACATGCTCTATTGGCTGTGCTAAGATGGTTACTTATTTAAGTAATTGGTTCTTTGTTTTTTTAATGAAAAAAGAGGTGTAACACGAGGAATTCTCAGAGGGTCACTCGTCCTAGTACTACTCTCGCTCAGTCTAGGCCATACTATTTTTTTTAGACTGAGGAGTCTGAAGAGTAAGAGCTAGCTAGTTTGAGGTAGAGGAGCCTATGAAGGTTAAGAAGCTTGAGCTTGTAGATAAGGTTGAGGAGCCTGAACTTAGCATTTTTTAGCGCATTTAAATCATATTGTAGGGATGAAAATCCTGAGAAGCTTTTAAAGCTTGGAAAGGCTGACAAGCCTAAATTCATTGTAAGAGTCTTTAAGCTGAAATGCCTTAGTTAATTTTTAAATAGCTTGATGCTAAAAAGCATGGGCTCATCATTTCAGACTAAAAGTTTGGTGCTCATATGCTAATTTGCAACTCATTCTAGGGAGGATGTGTGTGTGTAAACACGCTTGTTGTCCTTGGCTGAATAGTTAAGTTTAAGTTATGCATGTTAATGCCTTAGAATAAACATTTCATTTCACTAGGGTGAGCTGATGAGCTCTTAGGTTGACGAGCCAACATACGTATTATGTATACACCTTTGAGTTCAAACAATAAGTCGTGTTCAAATTTTTCAACCCTTTGGTCATAATACTAAGTTGTCCTGTGCTGATAAGTGGCAATCCTTTATAGAGCTTGGTTTATCTTTTCATCGAGGAGGTCGAGAATGAGAAGTAACAACCAATCATTCTGCTCTGGTTTGACCAGTTATGTCCTGGGAGATGAAATTCCAACTTCTACTGGGGCCATCACGTCTGTACCAAAAGCTAGCTAAAAAGAGTCACGTTAGTTGTTGTCCGAGCCATCATCTTGGAGGGCCCATACAGCACTAGAGAGGTGATCCACCCATTGGCTCTTTGAGGCTTCTAGCCTAGTTTTTAGTGCCTTTTACATCGTCCTGATTCTTACCTCTGCCTTTTCTTTGGCTTGGGGATGAGCTGGTGAGGATTAATAATTCTTGATTCCTAGTTTTGAATAAAAACCTCTGAAGGAGTCATTATCGAATTGTTTGCCATTGTTAGTGACTATAGCTATAGGGATCCAAACTCTAAAAAAGATAGACTTCCAGACAAAATTCTTCATTTTTTACTTAGTGATTGTAGCCAACGATTTTGCCTCTGCCCCTTTATTGTTGTAATCAATGACAAGTACTTTGAACTTACATTGAACTACCCCCATAGGGATGGATCTTGCAATATCGATTCCTCACTGTTGGAATGGCCATTGGATGCAAACAAGGATTAGCTGCTCAGGCGGGCACTTGGGTTTTTTTCGAATGGAATTCAAAAGCTTTGCATTTTTTGACCAAGATAGTGAATCCATGATGAAGAGACAACAATACCCGTTCCTCAAAGCTTTAAATGCCATCATCCTTAACCCTATGTCATATAGGCCCTAGTTGGGCATCCAATTGCTTCGATTTGAATTATCTGGAGAATGCCTTATATAGGTATCAAATCTATCAAAAAAATGGACAATCAAATGGATTTCAAGATCTTCTCTAAAAGCCTGAAAGCGAACGATCAATAGATGTAAAGGGTTACAATCACTGAGGAGATGAACTTCATTCTTCTGGCATATGACAACTGTCATCCTTTCCAATTGCTAATTTGGTGATTGAACTTGCCGAAGAGGAGGAAACAATCGGAGTACTATTCTTTCGAAGGTTAGACTCTTTTTTTTTCTTGCCCCTGGTGGTCGGTTGTAGCTAAGGAGCTACATCACCCTCGTAGGGCCTCATCTCTATTGATATACTTCTCAGCTTTGGCTGACGTGGTTTGAGCATGCTTGGACATAGAGAATAAGAATTCTGAATGTTGTAGCTCGATGATAAAGGCTTCCAGACCTACTTTCTCATAGAGACTGTCTATTTGTAGAGTTTTTAGGTTGAAGACTGAACAAAATTTTTCAGTATCTCGTCAAATTTTTGTTTGACACTGAGGAGGTATGAGGTCGACTTCATATGGCTTTTTGCACCAAATTAAATGTGAGACAAACTGCATGGAGAGCTCTTTTAATGAGCTAATCATTCTCGGTGGTAGCTTATCATCCTAGGTCAGTTTAGAGCCTTCGAGTGGGATTGCAAAAGCTTGACACCGAACAAGATACCAGTAACCATGCATATCCATGAGGTTCTTGTAAGTGATCAAGTGGTCAAATGGGTCTTTGGTGCCATCAAAGGCATCCATGGTGGGCATTTTGAATTTTGATGGGAGAAGGAAGTTCTAAATTTCTAGAGTAAAGAGAGACTCTATTTGTTGATAGAGCTTCCATGGACAAAGTTTCTCATATTTTCCAGCTCATCCTGGACCTCTTTCATTTTTCCTTCACAAATAACGGTCTACAAGAGGAGGATGAAGTGAGGGATGGGGATGGTATCTTACACCCTCACTAGTGTGGATTTTGCCTTCCTCCTACTCGCTTCAGTCATGCCAATGAAGGACATTGTCGTCTGATTGACTTCTCTCCTGCTCTTCAGTTACCCAATTGGGAGGTTGATGTTGGGCTATCAAAAGTTATTTGATTCGCTGGTTCTGTCAGAAGCAGCTGCAACATTTCCTCTTCGAGAGTTCCCTAGCCTTCTTGTGGTTGTTGATTAGCCGGAGGGACTTACGGGGTAACGATCCTTAGCTGATTATAGGGATTTTGGCTCATGCTTTTGGTTTGAACAACCAATTAATAAACATAAATTTATTGTAGAATGATGAAAATTGTTCTCATAGACAACATTAAACTGATGTTGTAAAATACCAAGAAGAATGAGTCAATAGATGAACTGAGAGTAACGTATAAGTTGGAAATTAAAATAGGTAAGAATGCATAGGTTTAGAGTAGTTCGTCTGGCTGAAGTGCATGAGTAGTCTACTGTATTACTTGAGAAAGATGAGTATAATAAGGTTTCTCTTGTTTAAGGCACTGTTTAGGCTTACCCTCTCACACAATAATCATTACTTTTTACAACTAGTCTATTAGGGGATAATTGGCCGTTAAAAGGCCTCTTGTCCAAGGTATGACGTGGCCTTATAGCGGCGATGACCTCTTGCCCAGGATAGGGGTAGTAAAATTCCTCTAATGCCCTTTTCTAAGTGGACCCCAAGTTGAAAGCCCATTTTAATTGGTGTTGTAACTTCGTAGACCCATTGTTGATTTAGACTGTGCCAAGTATGCTCATCGTGTAGAGATTTGGATGTTCATTATAACGTGTCATTTGTAAAAGTTGTCATTTTCTCTAGTGCCATCAGTTGCCCCAGTCCCAAGCTTGGTCTAACCTAATCAGGCCACTGGTTAAGGCTGATCATCGTGTTTGTTCAATCGTGCTCTTGGAATTGCGTGTAATTATAGGGATCTTTCCGACCGTTGTCCCATATTTGTGCAATTTTAACTATCAATAATAGATTTCTTTTGTCATTATTGGTCTGTTCAAAAATTTTTTAAGGATTTGATGTCAAAAGCAACTTATACCAATAAAACACCAATATTGCCCTTCTAGATCCCACCTATGTTTGGGCTTGTTACCAAGCACAGGTTATCCATAGTGTACACCACTTGTTCTGGCTTCCAAACACACAAAACTATGTAATTAATTGTAAAATTTGGTGATTAACTATTGACATTAAGAGAAAATTGTGCAATCATTCTTGTTTATAAATTAAAATTGACACGGGAGAAAAAATAATTTAAATTAATGGAACTGGTTTGAATTTGGAGATAAATTTAGCTTAGTTAATTGAATTGATTGTACAAAATGAACTAGATTTGGTTTGGATTTATGACCAAGTTAACTTAATTAACAAAATTGATTAAACTTTATTTGAATTTGTAGATAAATGTGACTTAATTAATAAGTTGATTAAATTTGGTCGGACTCCAACAACATTGTAATATTTGATTTTAACCTCAACATTTATTTTTGGAAAAAAATATTTTATTTTATTTTATTTTATTGTGTGTATGTAAAATTTCTAACAATAAGATATGGCATTGTGTGACCTTGATCATAGAATTCGCCCATGCACCTCGGGAAACTTTTTGTTTTGAACGCAAATTTGTGAATTCAAAGCAAATTAAACACAAATTTGCAAATTCAAAAAATCGAATTTTCGAATTCTATATTTGTAATTTGCATATTGGGCACTTTTCGAGGTCAACTCCACATAAACAAAAAAAAAAAACTAAACTAATTAATTTGTTGAACCTTGACTAGGAAATATTTTTCAATATTCTAATGGACTTGGTCCCCAGGTTGAGTTCAATTACTTGTTAGCACAGCTTACAACTGTGCTATTTATAATTGTCTTGCCATTCATGTCACTGATACTTTAAGTGGGATCAACAATTTGCTCTAAAAGCTCATTATATTTTACTTATTTCTTTACTATTAATAAGTAATCATATTTCTTATTTTTTATATTTAAACGCTTTCTTTTCTAGTATGTATCACAATGTTATACATAAATTTGACGCTCTTGGTGATGCTCCCGCTCTAAACTTTTTTTTGAAAGTTCTCACTGTCATTCTGTGTGATCTAGTGTGTGACCGCATGGTACCATATTAAATAAAGGGCAAGAAGTGAAGAATTTTTGCATTAAGGGTATTATTTTTATTTTCTTATTTCTCTTTGAAGAACGGAAGGAACGTTGTTAATTGGGAAGTCGGTGTGATTTATCATACATGAATATGTCTAGCAATTATTTAGATTTATCTTACAGGGAGAGAAATAGTGTTTATTAGTATTGTTTATTATCATAATCAAGTATATATAATCTATAATGTAAAACATATCAAGTTTCAATAAATTTATCTAACGGTCTTAAATAAACTCATCCAACGATCAATAATATCTCTCTCAAAACTATTTACATTGTACTATATCTTTAAGCATGAGTTATCTCTAATAGGACTATAAATGAGTTAGGAGCTCGACCTAAAATAAAGGACCGTATATG